GAATTCTTAACCCCCAAATTATCTGAGCGGTTAGGATCATTAAGAGGTAATTACAAATTAATTGCTAACAACGATTTGTGCTATCTCTGGAAATCAGTAGGCAAGGCCACAGTCTCCTAAGCAGATTACTTCGAATCTCTTTTCTGAATTGCTGCACAAGCCTCAAATATTGCGCGATGTTGAGTTAGTTACACATCCATCCACCACAACACATAGGTGACTTTCCCTATGCAGTTTAAGTTGATATGAAAAAATGAGGAGAGGTTTAACATTTGAATGGACAACAGATAACAATTGATATTTGCTGTTTAAATAATCCTTTTTGCTTCAATAAACAAATTTCCCAAACCTTACATTAAACAGGCTCATCTTCAAAAGGTGATCACAATAAACATTTGCCCAATTAATGTATTTGTCATAGAAGGGCACTTTATATGACTTGAATGGACCTTGGAGTTGAAAATTCAGATTCTTAAGACTTTTTACTTATCATTTAAAATGTTTGTCATTCAAAATCACTATATGAATTGCTAATGACTCATGGGCTTATATTTCTTTGGGGGAGTTTTTTGAACACATTTAAGTTTAGCATTCGCAAGAATTCAATAAATTCAGAGCTGTCATTGAATTTAGACAAGCATTTTTGTTTCATTTCTTAAAATAGTAAAGGGGTACAAAAAGTTGGTACTTAAGTATATAGCATAGTTTATAGGTTTGGGGTTGTTTTTATAATGTCTTTCAGGGTAGGTTTTATTTTATGCTTGTATGAGTCTTTACCCTACTGCTTAGGATTTGAGGACATGCATTCATGAATAGTCATGCTTTTGTATGATCAAACATTTGATATTTGATTTCCTTGATACTTGAATTCGCCTAAGGCCCAAATTGTTCACTAAGTGAGCAGGCAACCATAGATTTTCAATCTTTGAAAATTCTTCCCGGTGACAGACATAGAAGCCTAATTGAGCCACTGGTCACTTTTAGAGTGCCAAATGGAAGTCAACTGCTATGTGAGTTTCACAGACATGATAAATGATTTTCTCAAAAGAAACTTTCCATTCGAATGGGGAATTTTTTTTTTTTTTTAAAGAATACACTGGAAAGAAAAACATGCAGTGAGAATAAAGTCACTTTTATTTAATCAGTTATCAAAAGTATTTTGCTCAATATTTTACATAATTGCTATTTTTTTAAAAAATAATACTCTAAAGCTATAGGTAGAATACTGTGATTTGAATACTTATTTGGTTTTAGTTTCATAAGGGCTTTCATTTTCTTTAAACGAGATTTTGCAAAAAGTAATACAGGATATTTAAATAATCAGTAATCAGTAAAGCATTAAGGCATTTACTTTATGGAGTTTTCGATAAAGAAGAAAATATAATGTTGACATTTTAACATTATATTTTATGTCTCTCCCTACAACTTCATTTCAGTTTTAGGGTTAGATTTTTCTTTAAAATATTGAGGATTTTATTACAACACTAATACCACAGTTGGAGATATTGATTAAGGAGAAATTTTAGCAGGAATATATTCTGTTTAAAAATCAGATTTATGGCTAAGGTACTTTTTTATATCTCTATAACATACATTCTGATTAGAAAATTGCCATTGTCTTTCAAATTTGGGAGTACTCAGGTTGATCTGTGGTTGGACAAAACTAGCTCGCCTGCCAATTCTATTTATTTAGATAAGTTCAGTACTTTCACTTTGAAAATTTCTTTTCAGTTTGAAAAGAAAGTTTTAAATTATAGTCATTTTATAAAAATTGCTTCTAGCAAGCAAAAAAAAAAAAAACCCTATGGAAAACCCATAATTTGGACAAGTACCTACATTTTATTTGCTGTGTGATGCTGAGATTTAGAATCCCTTTCCATTTACAGTTTACTTTTCACAGAACATTATTAACTTTTTGGCTTCATACATGATCTTCTGTCAGATGCTTTTGATTTGTAATTTAGCAAAGTATAATAAACAGTGCAAAAGTCATGAATTTTGCTCTGCATCCTGAGCTCTGTGGTAGGGAAAATGTGATAAAATGTGTACCTTAAGTCTTGTTTGATGATCTCTCAAAGCAAGTTTGCCTTCTGGAAATAATTTCTGGGGCTGAAGAGCATGGTATTAACAGATTTAATGTGGCTCTTCAATGGATTGGAGAAGTACTATGTGAGGTTTAACAAAATGAGAGAGACAAATTGAACATCAACAAAAGTTACATCTGTGAAGAATTATAAATTTAATTAGAAAAAAAGGCAAACTTAAAAGACCTCATTAACTAATCAGAAGTCAAAGTTACTAGTTGAGGATCTTTGAATTTAAATTCTAAGGAGTTCTGCTATCTTTTCTTGGTATTTCCACAGCTCTGTGAGTGTGCTACTATGTGTATTCTATACGAAGAGTTTTTAAAAGCATTAAAGTGAAATGACTTCATTGTAATGTAAGATGGCCATTTATAATGCAATGGGAAATATTTCTGCACTCATAGAAGCAATTGAATTAAAAATACCAGATTAGGATATGACAAGAAATATTAAGTTTATGAGTGTAAAGCAGAAAATGTGAGCTTACTGAATGCTTACCAGCACTTCTGTGGAAATATTTTTTCTCTTTTGAACGAAAATATCCCTAGTTAATTATTTTTGAAACACATTATGGTTTGAGACCTTTAAAATACAGAAATCTCCTTAGACATTGTTAAACATGAGAGAAAATCAACACCAATCAGAAATAGGTGTGCTTTTTAGATAAGTCATTATAAGAATGTTTCCTTATGAACTGTAATCTTGTACTACACATAAAAAACTAAAAGCATGTGAAGTGTAGCATTTTGTAAACTGTAACTAATTTTGCTCACATCTGTGTCTAATTGTTGTCTGCATTCGCATTCTTGAGAGTAGATTTATTTTTCCTGGACCACGATGTGGATTCAGCTGACCAGCCTAAGTGAGGATTAGTTGTTTTAAAGTTATTTTGATTAAAGAGTCATTTTTAAATACAGTAACACACAACACATGGTTTAAATAATCCTTGAGACACAAAAGAATATATCTGAACTATACTTAATGAAATGAAGATCATGGCTGTGGACTTTCAAAAATTGTAATGTATGAAAGTACAGTAGAGACTGGGTTGCACCAGCATAAAAGAAATGTGTTGTGAAATGCAATTTTTTTTTTCAATGAGGAAATGTGTTAGAACAATTCTTGAAATTGTTTTTATTAACAACAGTTTTGACTTTTAAATTTAGATATGATAGGTTAAACTTCAAATATAAGCAAACTTTCAAAGTACACAGTGAAAACTAAAATTATATTTCCAAGACTATGCTTTCTAGCTAATGTTAAAATGCAAATGGATTTTAACATTTAATAGAAAGTGTGCTTACATACTCTCACATAATTAAGCCAAGAGAGTTCTTAAACTAAGTTAGTTCTCACCTATAATTTATTCCAGGTGTATTAAAGTGGTGGGGGGGGGGGAGAAAAAGGGAATTTATCCTTGAGGTATATTGTTCCAGTTTCTGAAAGAAACCATTTAATCTTGTGTGAGAACATTAATTTTAACAAAAATTGCAGAAATCTGTCATCATAGAAAGGCACATCTGCAGGCATAAGATGCCATTTCTACTTAACACTCAAGCATCTTTTAACAATTGTTTTTTGTCTTGCACATATTCTAGAAATCATACCTAGAAATTTCACATAACTCCATACCAAGATATTTAGACCTTAAGATGCTTTATTCTTGCCAGCAAGATAGTGTCTTAATTTCATAAATCATAATTTAAAAAATAACAGGACTCAACAGAAGATGTTTGGTTGGATAACTTTAATGTCATTTGAGATGCTTCAGTTCTCATCTTTGTTCTGTGTCCCTAATTGATGTCAGTTCAGGTTGAATGAAAATGCACATCAAAGATTTGGAATTCTGAGCCATTTAAACATTATGCAGAATGCTCTTTCCTGCCTGCCTACTTGTTAGGCTGAGCTTGGAAGCCAGCAGCAGCCTAGCTCACCTGAGCTTTGTCACCTGCTGGCAGTTAGAGCTGCCTCTGGCAGTAGGGCAGTGACTATTAAAACCAGCACAGTAGTGAAGTTAGTTGTTCAGTGAAGTCCCCAAATACAGATTCATCTAGAAACAAAAGAGACTAAGGAGCTGGCTTAACTGGGACATTAAATTGATTTTTCGACTACCAGTCTCTTTTTTAGTCTAGAAGACAGAAAATTAGCCATCCCCACCCCTCACAAAAAAAAAAAAAAAAAAAAAAAAAAAAAAAAATCTGACCACTTTGGTATGTTGTAGGGCATAGCTGCATAAGCACTCATTGACTTTTAATTTGGAATGGGTAAACAAGCACATTGTTCAGTGCTGTGACTTTGGGTATGAAAACTTGCTTTTGACATTTACCCCTAATCCTTTTGCCTGAAAAGTGCCCAGGAGCTGTTTTAGTAAACGTTAAATAACAAATAGTAAATGTGGGAGCAAATCATCGAGATAAGGATAAGATATTGTCAGGAGTCAAAGGGGTGGGCGGGAGCTGTGTTTCAGTTGGTGATAACAGAGGTTGAAAGAGGTTCTGAGGATGCTGGGGGATTATTGCTTGAACTGCTGCTGCTGAACGCACTCATTTTGTTAATAGCTATTTTTTTTTTTTTTTCCAAGCACCTTTTCCAAGCTGCCTGAGCAAGGCTGCTTTGCATGTTGATTGGGGGAGGGGTAATCCCGTTTGCAGCTGTCATAGGCCAGTGATGAATCACTATCCCGTCATTTGGCTGCCTTCCCCCCTGACAAGGGGAGGAGGAGGATAGACCTGCAGGAGGAAACAACAGTTGAGACTTCAACTTAAAGACAATATGCCTTTCACTGCAGCAGTATCCTCTTTTTTCTCTTTTGGTTAAAAGAGAGCATTGTCGGTCTCTGCCATGTGCTCTGTATAATTAAGAGCTGACACTGAAGCTCAATAACAACAGCTTCTAATTTCTTACCCCTGACCACAGGTGCAAACATCTCAAACCAGTTCAGATGTTGCTGTTTCCTCAAGTTGCAGGTAAGGATATTGTTGATATTTGACATTTTTGTAGATTACCTTTCTGTGACCCAGACCTATTTTTGTCTAGTATTTCTTAATTATTTCTATTAATAGCAACAGCCTCAGTTGGCAATTACTTAACAATTTATGTGTGTGTGCTTGTTAAAAAAAAAATGCCTAAGTGTGTGGGACAGGAATAGGAGCCTTGGTTTAAAAATGATTATGGGATATTTTCTGGTGTTAGGAAAACTGAATGTGAAATGGGAATTGGGAGAGAAAAACTGCACTTGAAACCATTTCCAGTTTGATTTCAAGACCTGAGGAAGTAAAGATCTATTTGAGAAGTAAAATGGCTCATGTTAAAGATGTTTGAAAAACTGATATCGACAGTCACTTTAAGTACAGCCACTCAATTAAAATGACTATACCTTTTATTGATCTGTTGGGGATGAAGAGCTTCATATATAGAACATTAAACCTCCTCCCTTATTTATTTTTTAGAAAAGCACATAAAGTTTAAAATGAAGGGAATGTGAGCCTGAGATATTTAAAACATAGCTGTCAGAAAACAGTATATGAATGTGTTTTGAGTGACTGTAAGTAAGTCCTCTCTTCTCTTCATTAATGAAAGTATTAATTATAAATCTAGCTCTGAAATTGACTTTTGGACCTCTTCAGAATAAGTACATGCTGAGTCTGAGACCTTTCAGAAGGGACTGGCTTGTTTTCATATAGTAAAAAGTGCAGCATTATAGGCAGAATTGTAGCATTGAAGTAGAATTGTCCTTATTTCCCTCAGTGACAGCTGAGGTATTCCAAGTGCTAATGCTCATAGGGACTCACTGTATGTTGGCCTTATCCTTTTTCAATTGGGCACGCTGTATGTAATCCACAAAGCAAACAAGTGAGCCGACATCATAATGTTTTAATGCTGCATTTGTTTCAAGGGAAACAGAGGAACAATTAAGTAGTTTGCCAGAGTAAACACATGCATCAGGACTATCTCATTCCCTGTCACTAGACTATAGGTTTCAAGTGTTTTATTTGGTTTGGAGACCCATTAAATTACAATTGGGTGGTAAATTATAAGGAAGTACCTAGTGCTAATTTATTAGATGAAACAGATTGAATAGAAAAGTGATTTTTTTTTCTATTACACTTGTTTACATAGTTTCCTCTCTGTTTTAGGGGGGAAAAATGCCTTCGGGGATTTTTTTTTTTTAAATATAAAAAGAAAACCATGACTACATTTTTTAAAAATGAAAATAGATGTCACTGTGTAGCATTAGACCTTATGACTTGAAACAATATGTAAAGTTCCAAAGAGGAATTTTTGTGAATGTTGGGCTGGATAGGTAGAGTAAGTGACATGTTTTAATAGTGCAGGTAGTGAAAATGACTGAAGTAAAAATGCAGAATTAACTATTTTGAGTCTAAGAAAAGAGATACAATGGGACTTTTGTGTGAGTGTGTTTCAAAGAAGGTGTCAAGTCGTTAGCACATTAAATAGCAGTGTTATGAATTTGGTACATCTGTCAAATGGAAGGCTTCTTGTCTTTAGGTCTATGGAAATGCAGGATCTAACCAGCCCGAATAGCCGTCTGAGTGGTAGTAGTGAATCCCCCAGTGGCCCCAAACTCGATAACTCTCATATAAATAGTAATTCCATGACTCCCAATGGCACCGAAGGTGAGTGTCTGCCTTCTCACTGTTTGCTTTGCACCTTGTTTCTTCCTCAGTATACGCTTCATTATTAGGTGGTTGTGATTTCAGTTGTCAAATCTGTTATACTGCTGTTCTATTTTCCCTTTAGGTAATTTGGCTTATGAATCAGTAGTCCTCATTAGTTAGCTGCTGGATGTTACTAGTTACGGTTATATTACAGACTGGCTTTATTTTACATAGATGCATATATATGCGCACACATCTTATACGTATGTGTATGCATGACATTTTGAACCTGGGAGTTTATTTTTATCTCCTTGTCGATCATGTCTACAGCACACTATCAATTTTCTTTGTTTTACTCTATGAGCAATGAAAATTTGGAATCATTTCCTTTATTTTACTTTCCATTTTGTTATTAAATACAATCAAATTTACTTAACTGTAAAATTGGACTGGATTGTTTCTAAAGGTCAATAAAATAGTTGGCATGCCTAGTGTTCTTGTGGCTTTGGCAATTAAAATATAAATAAGTAAAAAAGAAATACTTAATTGTTTACCAAATATGCAGGCTTATTTGGAAAAATGTACATAAAATGTATTTACTTTTTAAAAGTTTAAGCAGTGCTTTTAAAATTATTTTTGGATAAATAACACAGGAGTAAGTTTTATATGAACAGAAACACCTTTTTAATTCATATATTCCTGAATCTAAATATACAAGGTTATATGTATGTATCAATACCTGTTATGTGCATTTAGGTGCTATGCATGTTTTTGTAATTTCAGCACATAGGACATGTTACATATTACACCATATTTATTTCTATTTTAGCCTATTAAAAATTACTTCTTCACAGATATTTTTGCATATTTATTTTTTACTAAGCCTCAGAAAGTTGATGAACTTAGAAAATAAGTTTCACTAGAAGTCCAATGAATTATCCATGTTACAATTCCATCCATAGACAAACCCTTAACCATCAATTCCAAACTACTATGGTGATCTTTTTTTCATATAGTTTTGAAAATAAACAAAAGTAAATGCTATAAAATTATTGCTAATATTTATTAGTGAAACTTTTTGAGATCTATAAAGCTATGACATTTGTAAAAGATAAACTATAGAATCAGTTATTTCTGACATAAGATGTCTTGATTTGTGTATCAACAGTAATTGTTTTCATATATAACTGTTCTGTGTTTTTCTTGAAGAGTATGTATATTTATTTCCAGTGCTTATAGAAACTGGTTGTTGTCAAAAGTAGAAACTTTGCTGATCTAGTAAAAAAAATTAATCTCTGAATAAAGTGTCTTTTTATCTGAAACTTCTTCCCATTTCAGTAGTCAAAGAGAAAAAATTACTTATAGGAAAGTAATTCTAGTGTATAACAAGTAGATTTCATAGAGCGAGTGCGAGTAAGCAGCCCTCTTTCCACACCTTCTGGGATTTGGCTGCAGGTGGAAGCAGGCCTGCAGGACTACAGACTGGCTGTGGATATAGTCACACAGCCTACTGCAGGTCCCTGCTCTGACACCCACTCCAGGGCCAGCATGCTGGGTAGCCACAGAAGGGCCAAGGGTGCAAGCCTTTGACAGTCACTCCATTACTGTAAAGGCCAGATAAGACAACAACTTAAAGTAACTTAAAACTAAGGAGACTTAGCAGTTGAACTATTTTGCCGAATAGAATACACCAAAGAGTAATCATTAAATGCTGATAGCTAATTATTTGTATATGAAACAGTGAAACGGTAGTAAGAAGTTTTCATTTTCTCAACATGTTATTGGCAAGTCATCTACAAATAAGAAACACCCTGTATTGAAGCAGAGTATGTGTTTGAGGATGGCTTTGTGTGAATGAGGTGTGGTGTGACTAGTGCTAATATATTTCTGAATATTTATATTTCAGAGCTTGATATCACATTCATATTCAGGGATGCTGTGTTTTGTGAGATTTTTGCATAACCAAAATAAGGTTGAAAGAATACAATATTTTAGGTATTTGTAGGATCTCTGAACCATTTGGTCTGGGAAATAATCAGAAATTATTTGTTTTCTTTAAAAAAAATTCTATGTCTTCTAAATGCATTTTTTAGACCTGATTTTTTTTTAAAAAAAAAATACATGGTATTTCATCTCTGTCCTGTTTTCAGGCATTCTTCATTGGCATAATTTGCAAGGGTTGGAAAGTGAAGTTAGAAGTATCAGTATGAATTATTCAAAGCACAAAAGGAATTTTTGGCAATCCTCTGAAATGTTTAGCTTTATTTCACCAGACACTGTGAAAGTATGGACCCCAAACTTTCTTCATGGTCCATGCTACAAAGCTATTTAGATCTGAAAAATATCATAAAGTTTTAGGTTGCTGTGAAGATGTGAAGTCATTTATTGTGCTACTTATATGTTCCATTGTGTACTTGTTTCATTCCTTTCAGCCACTGCTAGAGGAGTTAAGCTTAAAATTAGTTAATTCATTAACATCTGGCAAGCTTCCCTGGGATATATGATCATTATAGATTTTCCTATTCCTTAAGATCTTATTTAGTTAGAAAACAGCAGTGTTTACCAATGCCTTAGAGGAATGAAAAAAATGAAAAAGAAATTCATTAAAATATAAGTCTTGAAAATATCACCTCCCCTAACTCTACCACAAATATTTCCAGTTACACACACACACACACACACACACACACTGATTTGGATTTAAGTGAATTTTCTGCAGCCCAATTTAAAATAGTCTCAGCTCAATTGAAATTAATTAGGTCAACAAAACTCCATTTACTTTACACAGTTGCTGGGGTTGCCTGAGTCTGTGTAGGGTTGTCTTCTCTCAGTCATTTTTTCACTTCCTGCCACCATTTGTCCCTATAATGAGGCAAAGAAAACAAGAAAATCTCCTGAATCAAAAAACCATAACTTCATCTAAAGAACAAACAAGAAGGGAACGGAATGGAGAGGCAGAGAATATTGAGTTTCTTCTTACGTCTGCTGCCAAATTATCATAAGACTCAGTGTTTGTAGGTTCTGTCCTCAAAGGCTAGTGCCTACTTTCAAGGTTCATCTAAGGGATAAAGATGGAAAGGCACTGAGCTAAAGCCGCATATACTGAGCTTTTTAATTTCCTAGAGTAAATGTTCTTCAGTTATAATAGTTTGAATGTTTTAAAACTTTCAGCTCTTCTCATTTTGATATTGCAACCTCTCTGAATCATGATTGTTGCAATTAACCATTGGTGTTACCCAGCTTATACATCTTCGAAACATAAAGTACAAGTAGCTAGATAAAAATAGTAAAAGAGTAACATAAATGATCGCTTGACCTGCAATGAGAAAAAAGCACCATTAGGAGTGATAGGTTTCCAAATGAACTAATGAACATTTTCATTACTATTAAACAAAACAACCCAGAAGACACTAATGAATGGTTGTGAAAACAGTTAATTGTGATCTTTCTTTTAACTCTTTCCTCTGGTGTTTTGGACACTTTGTCTTAATAGACATTTCTTATTAGATCCTTAAAGCATAATTTTTAAGAAAATAGGCTTTCAGCGGTGATGCTTCTTTTGATAAATATCAAAGTGTGGAATGTGAGGGAGGAGTATCTTCCAGCCTTTATTGGGGAAGGCTTTGTGTTGATATTTGGGTTAAATGTGAGAAGTAGTTGGAAACCTTTCCTTCAGAAGGACTCAGAGCCTTAGCAGTAAAAGGATTTTTATTTACCTACCTAATTAGGGCCTTGTTTGCAAAGCGGGGATTCTTTCCATCTTTGTTTTCTCTGGTTGTCTTAAATCCATGGGAGCCTGGGATTGGTCAGTTCCTGTATTGCTACTCAGAGTGTTTATTTGGGGTTGTTTTGGGGGTAGAGAATGGGGAAGGATAAAAAAGAGGTGTGAGTAAAGCTAAGAGTTCCCAAACTGGGAATTTTCTCTATTGTAAATTCAGATTAAAAATCAAGAAGCTTAAACCAGTCTTGATAATTTTGTCTTGAAGTGACACAAAACCAGATGCAATCGGAATTTTCACTGTAAATAGAATTTCAGGAATTCTGATGGCAATTCAAATAGTAATTTTGAATTGATATATCAGATTTCCAAGGTGATAACAGATTATAATCTTGAATTAGGTGATTGAATTATCCGAGTTTAAAGTTTATTCAGTGGTATTTTGCATATTTTCAAATGATAGTTTAATTCAATAACACATTTATATTATCAGAATATTTTAAATTATCTCATTTCTGCAAAGCTGAGAATACTAGCAAATTATCTGAATTTTTTTTCTCCTTGTAGTTTTGATTTAGTAAGATATAATTCTATGAAGTGAGAGTATCTTTAAGAAATCTTTTCTTACAGGAAATATCTAAACTGGAGTGGATGTATATAAAATTATGGTTTGAGGCTACATTTTATAGGCTATGTTTATCTATCTGTGGTCAAATATTCTGAAGTCAATAGAAACATGGTAATCTAATTTTATTATTGTTTACATTCTGCACAAAATTTAGTTTCTGGAAGATTAAGGGGCATCATGAATAAAGAGGTTTGTAAGTGGCATTTTTAGAATTTGTTTATAGCCACAAAATTGGACTCTTATAAATTATTCTTAAGCAAAAGCCATGAAAGAAGGAACAAAATAATTTGTTAGGATTTAATATTTACTATATCATATATATGGGAATAAATTTCACATTCATGTTGCTAATAATAAAAATGGCTGATGTTTATGAATAAGTTGTTGTTAGTCATTATGCTGATCATTCTCTGTTTTGTTTTTTAATTAATCTTCAGAAAATGCCTTGAGATTGCCAACAGAATGGTTGAGAGTGTGGAGTTGAATCCTGGCTCCATGATTTACTAGCCAAGTGAACTCAGGCAAATGAGTTTCTGTGTGACTCAGTTTCCTCATCTTTAAAATGGGGATAATAACAGAACTTACATTGGGTTTGCTGACAGCATGTCATATAAAAATTGTAGCATGTTTGAAACTTACTCTAAGGGCTCTATTTATTAATTACTATATCAT